TTTATTACAAAATGCTTGGCCGTCAAAAAGCAATCGAACGAAATGGATGCCAACCAAATCGACACAGACCAACCCAATATCCCCGGGTCAAAAACAACCCTTCTTCGCGTTGCGGAGCACGCGGGTAACCCTAGTGGTACCTATCTATATAAAACACACCTATAAACACACACACAAACACAATTTTGGGGCACATACATACGATAAACTTGTTCTCACATGATACGCCACGAGGACAGATTTTCGTTCAGCCCAGGTTTTCTTTCCCTTATGTACAGTGATTCAGTAATTTTCCTATCCGGGCTATCCGGATGGTCCCTAGTTTTCTTCAAAATCCTAACCTCCAGTGGCGGGTCAGCCAGCTTTTCTGCCTTCGACATCCCCGCGTGACACTCTGAAAAATGGTCACCGATCGGGGTAAGCTGTGTCTCGTTGGCAGCACACCTCAAATGCTCATTGTATCTAAGGCGCAGAGGCCGTTTCGACTCGCCGATATACTTAGCTCCACATAGCGTACAGGAGAGCTCATAAACCACGTTTTTGTCCGTGCACCTACCATTCTGCAACCTCCTGCAAGTGTTGCAGATCCTGTTGCCCGAAGGGCACGGTGGATCGCCAAACGATGAATGCACTAGCTTTTGTTTCAATGTCTCTGGCGTGTATGAGGCCACCGTAACATCCAGCCCAGAAGCACGAGCCGCCTTCTTCACCTTGCATTGCATTGCACCTTGCACGATTCTTGTTTTTTGTGACGATGTATATGCTGTCTTTTCAAATATACATCTGATGATGGGCTGTGCCCGAATGCACATGTAAATAATTCTTTCATTTTTGACATAATATCAAAGAGAAGGTCGCTTCAAAGTTAATTTATAGTATTATCAATGCTCCTTGCAAAAGCACTACACGATATACATATTGAGAGCTGTATGAACGCCAATCTAATTACGATTTTTATCATTTCATTTCATCTTCCGATAAGAAAAAAACTTTTTTTCTCCTTAGGATGCACGCTCATTATTTAGCTGTCCTGTTCCTACTGCTTTTGCGGCATATCATGCGGCGTATATGTCTTAGATCTGCTACTTTGATTCTGTTCTGCTTTTAAAAAGCCGGCCGGAAAGGCAGCTTTGAAAGTAAGACAACATCAGCCAAGCGTAGTTTTACGCAGGGGGGTTCGCTCCCGTGCCTTCAGCATTACGAAAAATGGAAACAACCCGTGAGCAGCATCAGCTGCTCACGTATATGTTCAAGGAAAACAACATGTAATGGACTGCTGACGACGGCCCTCTCCACCAATCAGCGCTCGGCATGTCGAGCGCTGATTGGCTGGTAGCAAACGCGTCATATGTGGGTCTCATTTTTTTGCGATCAGTGAACGCGTTATTTAATACACAGTGGCCTATGGAGAATGGCACGCGGAACTGAAGGTCAGTGTTATATTGCTTCGTACATGCGAATGGGGGTATTTGAGTGGCATTTGACACCATTTTCGAAATCTACAGTGAATTTCTGATCGACTCATGTATATATTTTTATGAATTTGATAGTATTAGTGCTACATAGTCGGTGTTTTATGTTGGTGTTGTTTCTCTCGACCTTTGTCTTGGACTTTTATCATATCTTTTCTCGAAAATGCTTGCCATAACCAAGTCTAAACTGTATCTGTATAAGAGATAATTTGTGTTGAATATGAGGAGAAAGTAGTTATGACCATTCTGCCCATCAAACTGCCAGAAGGTGTTCTTGTAAGGTGATTGAAACTTCAGTACAGGTTGCAGATGTGGGTTTGACATTAGCATTGTTGTTGTAACCCCACTTGCTCTAATAAAATGGAAACATGGGGTTATGTACCCACTATTGCACAGCCTGGTATCAAGCTGGTTGATATGTGGAGGATAATGAAAGCATAAGTGAATAGGAGCGTTGCGTCTTGTGACTTTGTCAAGTCACTTTAAATCAAATGATTGTGATTGTAACTTTTACTTCAATTAATTATTGTTGCTAGTTTTGACCTTTTTAATCATCAAGTTTTATGTGTACCAATTTCATATGCTTGTGTAATGTCTGTGCGGCTTTGTGCAGTGTGCGTGTCTTGAAACAAACCAATTTATTTTGTACCTTTTTGTACTTCAACAAATGTATGTCAAAAGACAAAAATGTCATGTCTATTATCACTGACACTACTACAGCTAACTTTGCCTATATTCCTATCTTTCAGAGGCATTCAATTCAATCTGCTTTCCAGTGCAGTACCTAGGAGGCTGCAACTAAAACTCGCACAAAGGCAATTAAGTGTCACTTCATCAGCCTACAGTAACAGCCCATCTGTAATCAAGATATAGATGAAGTGGCATAGAAGAACAACCAATTCAAACAAGAAAAGATTGTATTTTGTTTTGGACTATTTTTAAGCATAACAGAACACTACACTTGCTGCTTTTTATGTAATATGTTTGCCCTGTGTGCAGTTTTGAATAATTAACTATGAAATGCTTTTGCCCACTATTCTCTTTAGATAACCTTCCTTTGTAATGCATTTTGAGCTTACATGCATGATGTAGGCATATTTCCCTTGGCTTCATAAAACTACTTGCAAGCTTTTGTTATGGACATTGGTGCAAATATGATGCTTCAAATGTGTCCAGCAGTTGGTGAAGGGAGAAGAGAAGTAGGACAGCTGATAGCTATTACCAAAAATATGTACTTGTCTGCACTGAAAGCTATTACCAAAAATATGTGCTTGTCTGCCTTCGGGCTGTTCCATCATATGCAACCTCTTTTTACCTCCTTGAGTTAAAAACACCTCATCTTTTGTTTCTTTCCTGTGTGCCAATTGTTTCCGTGGTGCTATAAATGTCAAGTTTGAAGTTGGTATCTAAGTGAGGAGAATGTGCATTATTTCAGTCCGTCTTGAGTCATTCGTCTTGAATTATATCCCTAACTGACATCCTGTTATTTGTCCTGCAATGTATGTGCCTGTGTCCGCCCTTACCTCCGGCTTTAGCCTCAAACCAGCCCTGCTGAGCTCTGTCGCCGGCGCGGTGTGTCGCAACGTGCTGTTTCTCCACTTCAGCCGACAGCTACTAGGAATCGTCCTGTGCCATGCGCCATGCGACACAGCAATTGTAAGCTTCAGGTCACATATTCGGACTGATTGGCTCCGCGTATGTGCATCCGGCCGGGTGCTAGTCGATATCAGGGACGTGGGTCGGACTGTTGTGGCGGCGTGCACTGTGGTGGCTGAAGTTGTTGTATTTCTGTCAGTGAAAAGCATTAATACATAACCGTGGCCGCAGCCCAATGTTATTGTGAATTTCAGAGGGAGTGGCCAGTCAGCAGGAGGGCCCCATGTGGGTATGGATCCAGTGTCCAGTGGGATTGGCTAAGATTTCCGGCGATTGATAAACGCTTCTATGAAAGTAAACCTATTGAGTTATGAGGGGAGGTCACGTGACGGACCTGACCTTACTAAACTCTTGTGAAAACACGACACATACGAACGATAAGAAACCGACAGCTCTTCTTTCTGCCAAGTGTCATCTTTGTGTGAAGGATTTCTTGGCACTGAGTGTTCAGAAATTGCATTGTCTTTGGACTGTGCAAAGGCTCACGAGCGACAACATAGGTCAACAACCTGACGTACCTTAAATATGCGACCTGTACCAGAAGATCCAGCTTGATCAAAAAATTGGACGAGTCAAATTTCAGCTCTTTAGCTTAAAAGAATTTTGAGCTATCTTAAAAACCGTCAGTGTGGCACCATATCGCCCCCGCGCGGTCGGAAGGTAAAAGTTCGCCGGCTCTAACTAAACAAATACGCGTCGCATCGCAAATTCATTGACGGCGTTCGAAGCGTCGTTCAATTTACTTTCGAAACATATCCTAACATTAACATTTAACTGCCTAGCGCAATCTCCAACAAGCAAAAGTTCCGTGCACTCATCCTCATACAGTGTTAGCGGCCGCCGGCCGCCGGCCGCTGACCCACATTCGCGTCATCAGGGAATGCTGCAACTAATTTATTGTTTCCAACTTTTTTCCCGGAGCGTTCTACCTGGTTTATATAGCCTTGGTTTTACGGGATGATTTAATAAAACAGTATATTTCAATATTTTATACGTCCTTAAGTACCTGAGCTTAATCTCAAACAGTGCGTGAATACATGTTTGCTCGCAGGATATCGCCGATGCCACTTATATTTACTCATGACGTCATCTAAGGTAATGCGCGAACAGCTGTCAAGCCCCTGTTCTCGAACAGAACTTTTAGCTTGTTTTGAAATCGATTACGCTGCAGGGGGACGTTAGGAGGTATTTTTTATATATTTTATTGAGTATTCTGAGTATTTTAACTGCAATGCTACAACCCTAAGGGAACTTATAGTGTCTAGTGAGCCAGTAATAGAGAATTTCGGCCCAGAACATAAAACAACTCGCTATTATTCCAGTAAGAATAGCCAGAAACCATAACAATTACAATTCATTTAGGGTTTTTGCAGCATTTCCCATCAATCATTTAACTGCTAGGATTCCCTAATGGAATTTTATCAAGTGACAATGCTCACTGGCCATCAGTCCATTTTTCATATAAATTTATTAGAGTCATTCAGCTCTGGCTTAGTAGAACTTTGATTTCCAATCAGTTGGGCAAACTAGGCGGCGGGAATCAAAATATGGAGGCATCAAAATATTGATTCTAGTGGGCGGAGCTTTGACCATATATGGGCATAGAATCAATATTTTGATTCAATTTGGGACATTCCCACCTTCAGACGACCCGTTACGGCGGAAATAACCCCCATGACGGCGAGATTGTTTGACAAGTCAATACAAAAAACTTCCCCGCTTCAATTTTTCGCTGCATGGCTATCAGCCGTTTGTCGCGCGTACCTTTACGAATGGCATAAAGATTTCGCCGCCATAATTCAACAAAAATGTGCTGTTAAAACTTGCTCTGTTTATCATTAGCGACGAGCCTTTGTATTTTTTTCATAATTTTGTCTAAAAGAAAATAAAAAATGCGTTATTTAGTTGTATAATACATTTATAAGAAATATTCTTTTTCTTTGTATCTAGCCACGATTTCCGGTTCCCGCCATTTCGCGCCGGCGTCGTGGGTGTTCGGATGCAGCGTAGTGCTCCCGGTTTTATTTTGTTTAAGCGACCTTTTCTGAAGTGTAAGTAACAATGGCTCATATTTTAAGATACTTTGAAGTGTGTTTTTCAATTTCAGGCATGTGATCTTAACGTTTCTTACCGAAAACTCATTTTAAGAGATTGTTTTAGGAACATGGCGCGGTAGCGACGTCAGCGGCGCGGGGCGCCTTCTCCTTCTTCTATTGTCTTTTTAAGCTATATTTTTTTGAAAATGATGTCTTAGGTGTAGTATTTCAGTGAAATATGATGTCCTTTAAAAGTTACGGTATAAATTAGTTACAAGAAGCCTAATGTTTTGTCTCACATGATAGAATTGTTTGGTGGACTCATGAAATTGGTGCAGTGCATGTCCAGTATTTTACACATATTTTACATTATTTGGATGTTTTAGCCTCTGCTTGTGTCTCACTCACCCAATTGTTGCTACAGCTTTAATTTGTAGCATTTAAATTTCATTTTTTTAAGAGCAACTAGGTTATTGACTTGTTCCGAGTTAAGATTGAAAGGTCGTAGTGCATGTTCGTGTTTGCCTTATCTAAATAGTAGGTATGTAAGCTTGGCTTGTAATTGCTTCGCCCATTTTTGCTACATATTTAATGATGTTTATTTTAAGTGTAACAAAAGCAAGATGCTGAATGGTGTAAGCCATATTTACGTTATGCGTGATCTTCCAGAAAATTTTAATTATGCGTCTAATGTACGTCAGTCCAGGGAATGCTGGATAGTTAGTGTTCAGGATTGTCCATGCCAAAGTTAATTTTAGAGGCCAGTTTTATCAACACAAATAGCTGCCTGCTGGAATTTTTTGCCTAAAGACTGCTTCACATATGGAGCGTTAACACGATGGGCATGTAAATTGTAAACGGATAGGGCTGTACCGTTCATGCTCTGTATGTGAAGTAACTTTAAGACAAAAAATTCCAGCAGCCACCTATTTTTCTGTTGGTACACTCGGGGGCAGATTGATGTTCCACCACTCCTTACCCATCGGGCTCCCATGGCTCAGCACTGGCTGCTGCCAGTGGCAGCACTGGCAGCACTGGCACTGGCAGGCAGTGCTGAGCAATGCTGAGGGCAGGCAACACTGGCAGCAGCCAGTGCTGAGCCATGGGAGCCCGATGGGTAGGGAGTGGTGGAACATCAATCTGCCCCCGAGTGTACAACTGGCCTCAGATCTACTTTTTTGGCAGAATTTATATAACTGCATGAGATGACAGTTATTGGCGCACCTGGTGGCGTTCAGTGGAAATTTAAGTGACATTAAGTATTTAGTTTTTTATTGAATATATTCTAAAATTAATAGTTGCTGAACAAGTAGAATAATAACACATATAGTTTCCTAATTTATTGTCCACAAATGTCCTAATTATTGTGTTCTGTTGTTTGCTGCAGGTCAACCAAGGATCAAACACTGGTCGTTGCGGGGATCGGCTTCAGAGGGTCAAGGATGGCATCTTGAATCGCTGTTCAGTCGACAGGCAACTGTATGACAACGCCACCCCTGTCAACCAGAGCGTCGACCGAAGTAGGGCGGCGTTGCGCGGACCTGGCCGCACCCGACCAACCGGTGGAGTACCTGACTCGGGCTGGGCGGAGACTACCTACATCACGACCTTTTGAACTTTGATCTCGTGACGAGAAACAAGATGACGTAAGGAAGTGTGTATGTGGCTGGCGGGGCCGAGGGTGAAATGCGCCACGTGTTTATCCTGCCGGATGACGACAGCGTCACCAACCTGTCAAAGAACGAGCTGGTGCAGCGCGTGATGACTGCCATCTCGTCCCTAGAACCGGAGCAGAAAAACGTGCGCATAGCCCAAATGAAGCGAACCAAAACACAGACAGGACTGATAGCTTTTCGGTCGAGAATGTTCTGAAGATGCTCATCAGTAGACCAATTGGTGACCGTTTTCGGCGGTAATATGGGATCTTGTGGTGTTCCAAAGCGACCTGCTTTGGGTGTGGACATAAGTGGCTCAACCTGACAGGATTGATGTTTTAGGTAGCCGTGCTAATCATAAATCCTATATTGAGTGTATCTGTACAAATTTTGTTTATATTTATTTCATGTATTTGATTCGAAACCGAAAATTGCTCTTTGTAATTAGGCAACATCGAGACGTTGAGGTCATTCTCCAGACGTTTATTTGTTTTTTCTTACCTGTCCACGGTACGTCTTTTTGGTTAGGTCTCAGTTTCAAATATTATTAACTGCATGTTTTGCAAATACGTAGCCATATTGAATAAGAGACGTGTCCTAAAAGTGAGAATTGCTTTGCATGGGATGTGAGCATCAACGACAGGGCTTTGTGATTGCAAATGTGTGGCAATTGTAGGGATCGTTGTGAAATGTGTTATGAATATCATCGTATTATTTGCGACTGCAAATACATCCGTGTATATTTTCATTCAAATTGTGCAATTTGTGCAACGGGCTTGAGTATATTGTTCGGCGAAATATCTCTTACTGTACTCCACAGAAATGGGACGGGATACAGATGCGTAGAAACACATTCATGAACACGTGAAAGACGATAAGTTAACTTTTTTTACTCAAAATCAATGCTACAAAGCAGGGATGTGGAGCCGTGAAAATGTCAGACGGCTTCGGCTCCGGAGGGAAAAATCGGCTCCAGCTCCGGCTCCGGCTCCGAGTAAAATGGTCGGGCTTCGGTTCCGGCTCCGACTCAGTACAACCCCTGTACAAAGGTCAGCACGGCTCCCTTCACGCATTCCCTCGAAGGCTTGCAGCTTTGAGCAGGGAGCCAGGGCAAGGGTGAGTGCTGAAAATCCCTGGTCTACCGTGGGAATAAGGTCTAGAAAAAAATTACACGATCCTGTGCTGATAATATCTTCATGAATTTATTGAATTTGCATTATTTGCACACAAGAAACATTCCATAAATCAATTTGAAGAGTGAAGTACGTCTGCAGAAAGTCAGTTCGCAGAATCAATATATTGATAAACCAGCTGATTTCAGAATCAAAATAATGATTAGCCAGCTGTTTGCGGAATCAAAATATTGATTCTCGCCGAGATTAGCCGCCGTGATGAATCAATATCTTGATTATTTTCAAGACGCTTTCCTAAACTAACCAAAGAGGTTAGGGCTATTGTTTCGTGCCTGGCGGGTAGCTTCAACGTTGTTCTTCATTTTGTGAAGAAACTATCTTGAAATTATAGCCGGTTGCTGAAGAATTGACGTTTCTGTGATGGTCTGCACGTATGCCCATATATGGTCAAAGCTCCGCCCACTAGAATCAATATTTTGATGCCTCCATATTTTGATTCCCGCCGCCTAGTTTGCCCAACTGCAATGTTTTTTTGTGTGGTCGTAAAGCAGGCGTCACGTCACACTTGTTTTTTTCGCAACCAAGGGCAGGCACACTTTTTGCAATCAAGGGTAGGCGTTCGGCTATATCCAGAGATGCTTTCCAATTAAACCAACCAAACTAACCAAACCTGAGCTCTGTTCGACTTCGCAGTACCCCGTTTATTTATCAGAAAGCTGCGACCATGCTGCTACTTCTTGGCTCCTCATTGGTCGAATTCAAGTGGTCTATTTGTTAGACCAATGAGAGGCCAAGCCGTGCCAGTAGTAACTTCCTTATATGGGGAAAACCGACAGCACGCTGATATAAAAACAGCGAGCGAACAGGGCTCTGGCCTCACCTTACCTACAACCTACACCCTGGTAACCTATCACCTGAAACCTACAATCTACATTCTACAACATAACTTATAGGCTATAGTGCCTCTCCTTGATTGCAAAAAACAAGCATGATGCCAGTTTTACTACCTACTACCTTTTTGTGTAAATGAATTGAAAATATTATTCAATTCTTACCTACCTTCTTAAATAAGTTAGCAATTTCACATTTGCTTCATGATGTCTGCTCCCTATTTTTGACTATTATTATTAAAGAAAGTAGCAAAAAATGATAGATTTATGATAACACAAATGGGAACACTATTCAAATATGCCTGCTTACAGTTCTGTTGTTATTTGGAAATATTCCTTCATTGTTAGACTTAAGTATGTTGTTCTATGAAAATGGCTAAGTTCCTAGCTCTTAGTCAGATTTTTTAGCCTGTCAGATCATTTGGAGTGCACTTAGGAGTACAAGACGAATAATATGCATGAGATGATCAATAGCCTAGGCTTTAAAGGAAGACTGCCACCTTCAAAAAGTTTTCTCAGATCGGCCTATGATTTATTCCCTGGACAAAACAAAATTTTAGAATTCACCTGACAAAGTATCATCACGTGAATCGCGAAAAAAATTGTCGATTATCATACAATTATCAATCGGTTAATGTCTAGCGACAATGTTTACACATCACTAGACTTCAAGGTCATAAGATTATTACATTTTATTTGAAAAAGTAAGGTATTTTATGATTTACTAATATATGATTTCATGAGAAATTGTCCATGTTTAATTTATTTTGCATTTAAGTTCGTAAAACATTAAAAAAAATCATGGCTCATTTGGAATGGGTCTGGCCCATGTTAAACCCCATTTCCCACACTTTTTTGGAAAAAATGAACTACTGAATATATAAGTTTAACTTTTATTTTGACACTCCAAAATTCTTCTCTGATCTCGAAACAATCAAATTTTTGACATATATTTACCAAAAGATAAGAAAATTCATGTTTCAAAGTTATCGATAAACAGTAGAGATGTCGGTTTTCTTGGACTAAAAAAATGGCATCAAACTGAACTTTGGTCTCCGATTTCTCGCAAACGGGTTCGAATTTCGGAAAACCGACTTCAGTCTGGGACATAGGTGGCTCAGCTCTAGTGAAAACCGTTTTGTGGAAAAAAGGTGGCAGTCTACCTTTAATAGAAAGTAAAAAACTAGAATCTAGGATAAGATAATATTTTTGGCACCACTGTTAAAGCTGTTGAGGCTTCACTTGCACTTTTCATTTTAGCACTTCAAGTGATGAGACCATATGAGACAGGCTTTTAAAAATCACACTGCAGCAATTCTAGCATCATTTCACCATCCTAGCCTTGTGTAAGGCCTAAATCTTGCTTGAACTCTTTATATGCTAACAAAATACAACATTAGCACATTAGATGTGCTTATAGTAACTAGTTAATAGGCAGTGTGTTGTAGTCACTTGTATTTATGTTTGCATGTTAAGGACTATGTCACCCCTGATCTCTCAAAGAAAGACAGGGAAGAAGGAAAACGGCTCAGGGAGGAGTTGGCTGCTCGTAAGCTGGCAGGGGAGGAGCACCTGAGTATCAGGAAGGGGAAGATAGTGAGGATGAACAACAATGAGGCTACTCATTCTCACCCAAACTCTTCGACTCACCCAGCACCCAACCCCAACCCCAGCTCAAGCACTTTGAAACAGGCTGACAGACCTGCGAACGCCCAGCCTAACCGAACAGAGTCAGCACGGCCACATGCTGACAGCAACCAAAATTGACTATATGGGTCGGGTATTAGTGATCAAGCAAAGCAAATCAAAGTCATTTATACAAATGCCGATCAGTTAATCAACAAGAGGGACGACCTGTCTATGGTAATTGCACAGAATGAGCCTGATGTCATTCTCATCACAGAAGTTGTTCCTAAGGCCCAGATTCTTCCTATTCACCCTGCTCTACTGGCCCTCCCCAAGTACAACATTTATGTAAATGTGGACCTGTCAAGACCCAATCTCGGGGCGAGTGGACAACGAGGTGTGTGCATATATGTAAAGGAGCACCTGCCATCTCATGAAGTAACTCTTCAAACGAACCCACCCACATCCATGGAGCAGATATGGATTATGATCGACCTTCGCAATGGGGACAAATTCTTGATTGGGTGTATTTACCTGAGTCCGTCCGGAGACAGACATCTGGGCATAACTGAGCTGGATAGAAGTCTGTCACTGGCTGGTAATTTGAGTCCTCACATTCTGGTAGTCGGAGACTTCAACGTTCCACAGATTGACTGGGCGTCCTATTTCTCAGACGAGCCCCCTGGACATCATTCTCACGCACTACTCTCATGTGTGCAAGACCATTTTCTTACCCAGCATGTCACTGCACCAACAAGGTATCGCTTAGGTCAAATCCCAAGTATGCTTGACCTCATCTTCACCAACGAGGAAGGGATGGTACAGGACTTGCAGCACTCACCAGGTCTTGGCCTCAGTGACCATGTCATTCTGGAGTTCAGTCTGAAATGTTACACTAGGAAAGGGATCCCAATCGGTCCCCATCTGAACTACAACAGAGCCAACTACAATCTACTGAGGAGTGTGCTCCAAGAAGTGGACTGGACTGTGATGCATGATAGCAACGTGCATCGCGCCTACCACTATTTTGTGAGCTCCCTCAGAGAGGCAGTTGCTCGCACAGTGCCGGTGACGCACCACAGACCTAACAAGAACCTGTACATTGATAACCGAGCGCAGAGGCTCAGGCGTGAGAAAAGCCTGCTTTGGAATATGTATGCTCACACCAGGGACCCTGTGGACTACGCCAGGTACTGCCGATGCAGGAACAGACTGAGAAAGCTTACCAGAGAGCTGAGACGTACCTTTGAGTTCAGACTGTCAAAAGAGCTAAAGGACAACCCAAAGGCCTTCTGGAAATACTCCAACTCGAGACTCAAAACCAAGGTTGGCATTGACGCCTTGAGAGATGAGAACGGATTGGTAATCAGAGATGACGTCACAAAGGCTAGCATCCTGAACAAGTACTTTTCTTCGGTATTTACCAACGAGGATGCCTCTGTTATACCATCTCTTGCTCCACCTGGCCAGTCACTGAACCTTCGCGACATGAAGGTCACGGCCGACATGGTTAAACACAAGTTGATGCGACTCAAGAGCTCTAGCTCCCCAGGGCCAGACAGAATCCACCCTAGGGTCTTGATCGAGGCGGCTGCTCAGCTGGCGGTCCCACTATCCATCATCTACAACAAGTCCATTCAGTCTGGCTGTCTTCCAGACGACTGGAAGCTTGGCACCGTAGTACCTATTCTGAAGAAGGGGGACAGGCTGGACCCAGGCAATTATCGCCCAGTGAGCTTGACTGCAATTCCTTGCAAGGTACTTGAATCCCTGATCCGAGATCATCTCATGACTCACCTGGAAGAAGCCAACCTCCTATCGAACCACCAGCACGGCTTCAGACCACAGCGATCCTGCATGACCC